TGGAAACAATGACATTTTATAAAAATAATAAACTAATATAATGATGTGTCATTATACGATTGGAGGACTTAAATCCTACGTGGACGTCCTCAATGGCTTATAGCCTCAACTTTTATATAGTATAGATTTTGGAGCATATTAATTAACAGAAATTGATTTTTTTCAAAAAAAAGATATTTTCAGTAATCTATAAATTAAACTCAACAAAAATGATATTTATTATAAATTATATATATAGTACTTCTACAACCCAAAACTTTTCAACACGACTCTATGGCTTGAGCCTAGAGAGTCTCAGAGTCCGTTTTGGTATATTCAAAAGTCAGAAACCAAACCAAAACAACTAGATGTCCAAATCTAATCCTCAGCAGAGAAAACACATTGGTCTCTCCGATTTTCAATTGATCAAACAAAAAAAAAAACAAAAAACGAAAAAATATCCTGAGCTAAAATGGAGGGAAAGGGCTACGATACAATAATAATATTAATAAACGACGAATTTACCCTCACAGATCGTCATTACCCGGAAAAAAATATTAATTGTCTCGATACGCGCATGTGGTTTTAGAGTAAAGCCCGAAAAATATATTAAACCTCTTTCGTCTTTTGTCTCCACCACTTTCACATCAAAACTAAACCCTTGTTCCTTCCGTTTCACTATTGTTGTGTCTCATCGCTTCCCCCTCTACCGAATCAACAATGCTAATCTCCGGCGAATCTCTGAAGCCGATTCGTTGATTTCCCGGCGTCTCTCTCAACCCTCCCGTTCCATTCCTTTGTTTCTCCGTCCGATCCAGCTTGGCTTTTCATCAAATTTTCTCGGTAAGGACATGTGTTCCGTTTCTTTTCTTTTGATTAGAGTTTCGATTTTCTTCTATTCTTATCTGTCGCTTCATCTTTTTTTGTTTTGTTTGAGGTTATGATGTTACGAGATCCTGCGTTTATTGTAACCTGATTATATTTTTTTTTAATTTGATTTTGCTCTTTGTGATTCTCTCACCAGATAATTGGCATTAGGGTCTCTGTTAATGTAGAAAGATCTGAGAACATTATGGTGGAGCGTAACGAATTTCACTTAAACGGGTGTTCTGCAACTCTAAATGGAAGTTCCAGCGAACCTGGTCTAGAGGATGAGCGTGAAACAAGAACAGAGAGTGTAGCCGAGATGAAGAACAAGAAAACGGTAAAGGTGGTTAAGCGCGAGGTCAACATTACCCGGAAGGTTCTTCGCTCAGGGTCTGTGGCAACTGATACAGAAAACATTGATGTGGCTGTGGGAGATCTAAGTGAGGTTGACAACAGGGGCGATTGTTACGTTGATGAGGTGAAAGAAGAGAAGGCTCATTTGTCAGGGTGTGTGGCAAAGGTTGCAGAAAACCATGGTGTGGCTGTGGGAGAGGCAAAACTGGTGGGAGATTTAAGTGAGGTTGACAACATTGGAGGTGGATTTTCTGTTGATGAGGTGAAAGAAGAGCTTGTGGAATTTCCTGTGACTCATGGAGATGATTATGAAAACGGGAGTGTTGAGCCACATGGAAAAGAAGCTCAAGTTAAACGCAAAAGAGGACGGCCTCGGAAGCTGCAGATCAGCAGCCAGTCTGATGGTCATGAGGACCGAGTTATATGCGTTATCGAGGAGAACAAAGAAGTAAGTCTTGTAGCTGATTCTAGGAGTCAGATTGAGCCACATGCTGAAGAGCTAAAAGTCAAACGTAAGCGGGGAAGGCCTAGAAAGTTTCCCATCATAAGTCAATCTGACACAAACTGTAAACTTGATGATTCCAGAAGAACAAAGCGTAACTGTGGAGGCAGGGCGGCTAAGGGAGCTGAGTCTGACAGAGGCAATTGCCAGATGGGACGTCGTAAGCGTGGAAGACCTCCAACACCAAAGACGAAGAAGAAACCTGGGAAGGCAGATGAGTCAGATTGTAAAAAAATGAAGAGACTGAAGCCTTGTGAGAGTTCCTTAAAGTCACCCTCAAGCGATGGCGAAGTGAGGATTGGAGAAGAGCAAAATGATGATGGAAGACAATCTAAATTACAATCTAAGAAAAAGCTGAGTGATCGCATACTTCAGCTACTTCTAGCTGCTGGTTGGACAGTTGAGTACAGGCCCCGAAACGGGAAATCATACAACGCTGCTGTTTATGTGAATCCTGAGGGAAAGACTCACTGGTCAGTGACCAAAGCTTATGAAGTCTATAAAACAAATCTGGAACGCAGCATGAAGGATCAAGTAGACTCTACCACTGTCTCTGGTCTTGGCTTGCTGCCAGAAGAGGACCTTCACCTTTTAAGGAGAAAAGCTCAGAAGAAACGGAGCGATACAGGTAAGCCAAGGTTAAAATTGAAGGACAGAGAAACTAATGAAGATATGGTCTGTAGAAAAAGAGTAGGAGAAAAAGCGCAGAAGAAACGACACAACTTAGAAAGAAGTTTGGTTTCTGTCCGAAAAATAAAGAGGGGAGAAAAACATAATAGAAAGCGTGTTGCTTTGTCAGCTCGCAGTTCTTTGTCGGATGCGGATTCCAACGAGAATGGGTACATTTTATTTGAAGGAAAACGCACCATGCTGGGATGGATGATTGATTCAGCCATTGTGCCACTTAACGGGAAAGTTCAGTGCATGAACACAGAAGTGCGTGTAGAAGGAATAATCACAAAAGAAGGTATTCGATGCAACTGCTGTGATGAAGTATTCTCTGTTCTTGATTTCGAGATTCATTGTGGAGGGAAGCACAACCAGCCATTCAAAAGTCTGTATTTAGAGGGTGGAAACTCTCTCTTGCAGTGTTTTCTTGAGTCTTGGAATAGACAAAGTGAAGCAGTGCTAAAAGGATTCCATGTTGTCGATTTTGGTAGTGGCGATCAAAATGATGATACATGTGCTATATGCGGGGATGGGGGAGATCTTACCTGCTGTGATGGTTGCCCATCAACTTTCCATCAGAGCTGCCTGGGCATTAAAGTAAGTTGATGCTAATATTTATGTTAAAAAGGTTTTTTTTGAATCAATGAATCTGTCTTTTGGTCCAAAATCATTTTATAGTTTGAAATCCTGTGATTGAAAACTGGGACAGATGCGGTAAAGACGATATGACGACTGGCCATTTAAAATGTTGAATTAGCTATGTTCTTGCAGCTTATTAATTCTGTTTCTGCTATAAATTGCAGAAATTCCCTTCTGGTTCCTGGTTTTGTTGCTACTGCTCATGCAAATTTTGCGAGAAAGTTGAGGCAGCTAATCATACTCTTTCCCCCTTGCTGAGGTGCCACCTATGTGAAGAAAAATGTATGAGTAACACCTATATTTATGTATTTGCTTATGTTAAATTCTTAATATGTGGTTTGAACTCAATAATACATTACGTTCCACACTTTTGCAGATCACCAGGCATGCATCAAGCAAGATGGTACGGTACCTGGTGAAAGTAGTCCTCATTCATTTTGTGGAAATTACTGTCAAGAGGTAGCCTTCCTTTATTTAACTTATAGTCACGGAGCTTTCCTTTATTACTTGAAACGCTGGGTGCAGTTTGCAAATATAATTTCTTGGATAAATGTTTGTGGGAACGTTTGTAAATCTTTATTTCGATGTCATTTATACATGCCATCTTTTATAGAGTTGACAAAAATCAGGTTTAATTTTTGCATATAGAACTATGAAATTTGAATTTAACAGAGTTGACGAATATATCACTGTGGCAATATTATCGGAAAATTATCTTCACTTCGTTTTTAAATTAGTTGGATTTCCTTCAAATTTTTTTTCTTGTGGCTTAAAATGTGGTAGTTTCCAATTATCGATGTAAATACCTTTCTATTCTACAGTTATATATATGTGGTAGTTACGTTGGACACTGAGTATTTCATTTGTTTGTTATTTTCTTGTAGTTATTCGACGGACTTGAGTTGCTCATTGGAGTTAAACACTCATTGCCTGAGGGCTTCTCCTGGACATTTCTTCGCCGCTTTGAGCTCCCTCGTGAGGTTTCCGATAGTGACATATCTGAGAAGATTGCATATAATGCCAAACTGGCTGTTGCATTTTCTGTTATGGATGAGTGCTTTTCACCTTTAGTTGATCACTGGAGTGGTGTCAACCTTCTTGAAAACATCGTCTACAATTTTGGGTAAGATCATTCTCAAAACCTGTCCTTACATACTTCTGTTTGGTTGTGTTAGTTCATTGGCAAGCCTCTTAGGGATTGTCTATAATATTTATAGTTGGTTGTAATTGCATATTTTGACAACTCTCTGAAACGAATACTTGGTTGTCATTACAAGGTGGTTAGTGTGTAGTATCCTTTGTCTTCCTTTTCGTTTAAGATGCTTGGCTAAGTAAATCTTTTGAGATCTAACTGACTGATGTTAACAGTCCATAAGCTACTATATTATATTTGAATCTTGTCCTATTGTTTTGTAGGTCGAACTTCCATCGGCTAAATTACAGCAATTTTCTCACTGCTGTTTTGGAGAGGGGTGATGAAATCATTGGTGTGGCATCTATCAGGTGATTCTGTGGTATAGTGAACTTGATTATACGTATTAATACATTTATTGTCTTAAACAGGCGGCAAAAGTCAATTATGTTAACCAAAGATTCAAAAAAAACACTTTGTATAAATATTTACTAAGCTTTCTACCCCTCCAAACAGAATAGTATATTGTTTTGTAAACTTAGGGAGTTCTTAACGTTGGATAGAATGCAGTACATGTTAGCAGAATAGGTTTTCTTCAGAAAAATTCCCTCAGTTACTTGTTTCTCAGTAAATATTGAGTTGGGCATGCAAGAGAATGTTGAGAACGTAAAATGAAATTTCTTATACTCAGGATCCACGGTAATCAACTGGCAGAAATGCCGTTTATCGGAACCCGCTACATGTACAGGCGTCAAGGGATGTGTCGTCGACTAATGAACGGCATTGAATCTGTAGGTCTTCCTCACCTTGTCATATCCTAAGTTCTTTCTTTCAGTTTTTCAGTTTGTCGGTTTATATATATATATTTCAATTTCTTGTTTATTGCCCTCAAGTGTTGCATACTGTAGGTGAGTTTTGTTAGATGCTGTCAAGGATCTTATACTCTCTTGTTTATCCATTACTTTCACTTAATTTTATGGAATCAAGTAGACCCTTTTGTTCTCAAGTCTGAAGATCCATATTTATATGTGCTTTGTTATCAGGCGCTTGACACTCTCAAAGTAGACAAATTAGTCATACCAGCAGTGCCAGAACTGATGGATACATGGACTTCAGGCTTTGGCTTCACGCCTGTTCGTGAATCAGCGAGAAAAACAATTAAAAATCTGAACTTGGTGGTGTTCCCTGGTGTAGACATGCTGGAGAAATCATTGGCTAACGAGAACGGTATTAATTGCATTGCCATCTGATTTGCTAATACGCTCATGTTATGTTATGTTGGCTGACTAAACCTATTTCAGGTAAACTACTGTTGGCAGCTGAGATGAGCCAGCCTGTGGTAGATGTTGAGGAAACTAAACCTGAGGAGAGTAAAGACGAGCAAAATTGTGAAACTGCTGATGCCGAATCTCCTTCTTACCAAGTAGATAGCTGCTTGAAGTCCATTGATGTAGAAAAGGAAGTTAATGATACAGATTTGAGTCTGAAGTTGCTCAGCGGGTCCTTGGAGGAGAAGGGAGAGATTGGGATGGGGAAATTGGCAAATAAAGACGTCGATTTTCTCCATGTTGTTGCAGTTAATAACCAAAGAGAGTTTTACTCGGGATTGGGAGTTAATGATGATGATTCTCATGCGGATAAACCTGATACAGAAAGACAGGGAAGTGGTGATTTAAAAAGCTCTGGGGGTACAGAGGAGGAGGCGGATGAAGAATCCGATTGTTACATAATAGAAAATTCTCAGCCATTTGGTAACGGTGGTGCAGAGAAAAAGATTGGCAACAAAGCTTTAGCGCTGAAGAAAGGAGTGGCTTCCAGATTGAGAGTATTACCCAGACTGATTCAGGGATCATGGGGAACTTCGAGGGTGAACAAAAGGTACACAGGTACCAGTGCCGTGATGATCGGCTCGTCACATGGCAGGTGTGTTTGAGGTTCATTGCAGCTTTTGTTTGTATGTGCATATGACCAGGGCTAACGCACTTTTATCTACCTTCATGACAAACGGAAAGAGGCTCAGATGAAAGAAAAGTAGTTAGACTATTATACTAATTGCAGTGCTTTAGTAGTTTCATTTATGACTCGAGCCAGAGGTCAAGTAAAACCTTGCACTGCTGCTCAGTGCTTATTAGTTTTTTCTTTTTAATTATTTTTGGTTTAGCAGACCAATTAATTTATTTCATGGGCATATCGTAATATATCATACATTGAGCTGCTTCATCTTATTTATCTAATGTGGAAACATCTTCTGGCTTGTAGGGAACTTTATTATATCTCTGTTATCCCTAAGATAAAATGAATGATTCTACAGGGTGAAGATATGTTTGTTTCTTGATCTAAAATACTAGTTTTAAGAACACTATAAAACTAGCCCGACAAAGAAGCCAGAGGCTTAACACAAAAGAAGGCTTAGACTGCAACAATGCCTGATATTTGGTGTTATGAAAGATTTAAACATATACACTAGATTTTGACCCGCGAGTGTTTGTTTTCGTTTATAGTTAGTTATATAAACCTTTTGTTTTCACTTGTAAATTGATATATATTATAGTAATCACATATTTACGATATATATAGTAAATATTTTTAAAACATAATAATATTATATAATAAGTGTTTTAATCAAATAGTTTGTTTCAAATTTTCTATATTATACATGTTTTTCAAACATGTGTTTGTTTCTTCTTCTATATTTTATTGTTTGTTAGATTAGTATTTCATTTTTAGATAAAGTAATATAAATAGAGCTTTATTAAATATTAGTATACTTTAACTTTCAAAGATAATATAAATTTCGAAGAAATTTTTGCTAAAAACTAAATTTATAGCTTTATAAATTAATATTATAAAAAAATTTATTAAATAGATTTTTTTAAACAATTTCTTTTTTTTAAAACAATATAATTAAAAATTTTACATCGAAATAAATTTATCTAATATATATAGCGTGTAAATTTTGTTAGGGTATATAAATATTCCATATTACCAATCTGTGATTTTTGTTAATATATTGTGGATGCATTTAACTGTTATTGACATATTTCCTTATAAATAACAAAGATACCTAAACTTATATCTATTAACATATTTTGCGTGACAAAATTGGAAAGTGTGGGATAATTTACCAAAACCAAATTGTTAAGCGTATCTTTGTTATTATAGATATGATTTTTCATAAGATATAATAATGATAAAATTATTAGAGGGTTAATGTAACATAATTTTCTAGTAATAGTTCACTTTTAAAAAAATCACACATGAAATCAAGTCATGACTTCTGTTTTAATATATAAGATATGGATTGTCACACAGCTTGTGATCGTATTGCTGAAAGGATTCTTAAATTTCTTCATGTTCGAACGAACAAATGCGCAATATTTAACATTCATTGATTGGCATAAAGCATCACATGGACGGTGTGTGTGAGCGTTTATCACATATATGAATCCTTCACTTAAGAGTGAGTAAGCACTTATCTCGCAAGTAGGATCCTTGTTTCATTAGGTATGTTATTCTTTATATTTTATGACTCAATCATCTTTTCATGCTATGTGCGAGTTTTTGAACTTACTGGTTTAACATCTCGTCCTCGTAGACTGACTTCTATGTTTCTCACTCCTTTTTTTTTTCTTTTTAGATGGAAACTGGCAAATAGATGAATATTGGATTTTGGAAGTATCAATGCTCTTGAGATAATTTTTTCCGCTTTTCGGTTAAGATATTTATATACGACTAATTCAGCATTTTTGGGGGGAATTAATTTATCCAGTTATTACGTTGTTAAAAATTTGATTATTGAAAACATTATTTAAATATTAATAAATTGGTGTTTTCAAATTTATAGTTGTGAGATAAACATGATTGGAGTGGTACTTCGAGAGAGAATGAGACGGTTGTACACAATACTCGTTGGCTCTCTAATTCGCCATGCACAAGAAAGACGCTACAAATAAATGAAGCTTGCCAAAAACAAGCAAGAAAAAGCGTATACAAAAGATAAACGTATGGATCGCCTCTGTATTTTCACTGAGTTCTACCGAGTGATTGACGCGGCACGTGCTTTCTTGTTCATCATACATTAGCTGCTTTGAGTGAAAGAAAATCAGAAATCTTGCTGGTGTAGAAATCTGGTTGTATCTTGTTGTCAGGGCTTTCCAACATTGAGATAGAAGTAACACCTTCAAAAAAAGATGAAGAAATCTTAGATAGTTGAAACCAAGATTCTGAAGAGAGAGAGAGGGAGAAGGAACTGTTTATGGATGGATGATTAGTCATACCCGAGAGGACAAGCAGAGTTTTACAACCACCATTCTGCCCAAACAAAATATCAGTGTCCAATCTATCACCCACCATGCATATCTGTGACTTTTCGATTCCAAATCTGCACAATTCTCAAAAATGTCAATGCACAATATTAGTGATCAATATTCTCATTACTTGGCAATCTCTTTTGTACACTCAAAACCTTAAGAAACCTCGGATGGACATACAACACATAAAAAGAAATCTCAATGGCTTTAGCATCACGTGCACTTGGTTAAATAAATACAGAAAGGAATATGAGAATATAAGTCTTACTTGTCTGCCAAATAGTCCATCATAAAAGTTGAGGGCTTTCCAACAACAAGAGGTTCACGTTGACAGGATCCAACAAGAGCACCAACCATAGAACCACCACCTGACACAGTGTGGTCGTTCATGGATGAAAGAAAGTGGTAACCATAGACACAAAAGCACTTTTCAATGTATATATAGTATGTGGATTATAACTAAATTTACCTAAGCACTACATTATATTAACGTGGCCACTGACCAGACTTGAAGTTAACATGCTTTTCTTCCTAACGATTAAACTAGGGAATAATAATGACAGTACAAAAAATGGATATAAGAAGCCAACCTGCCCATTCTTGAGCATCGGTAAGGTGGGTGACAGCATCTCGGTTTGTAGCAATGAACAGACAACCCGGGTTTTCACGGATACAGAGTGTTCCATACCTTCCAATGAAAAGAAGCTGTTAGATCACCAAACTAGGATAAAATTAACAAAGATCTATAACACACAGCTCATCAATAGAGCAGTAAGTATATGAGTCTTGAAGTGCTACTTTATTTTTTTTAATGGTACATGTAAAGGAAACACACATAATTCGAGGACCTTACTGAATTTTGTAGTAGTTGAAATAACGATCAAATCCAACCACCACAGCTCCCACCTGGAACAGATTTTCAGTGAAAGTATACACAGTTTCAGTCTCAGGAACAATAATTTAGTGCTTTCTATGAGTTGAAGGAGAAACAGAAACATATAGAAAATAAACGATTAAGGAAATATGACATACATCATTATCATGCTCCATTAAAAATCCAGGCTTCAGTTCAATCTGTCTTTTTCCATCATCCTGTATTTACAGAATAAGCTGTTCAGAATAACGACAGTTTTGCACAAAGATGAAAGAAATTCCAAAATGTTGCTCTGTGATTTGAGGATTAACATAAAATACAAAGAGGAACTAAAACGGGAAAGTTGGAAATGAACATACCGGACCTCCAAGGTACTGGAAACCAGCAAGGTCGAGTTCTTTCAAGATACCCTCCTCACCAATCACGTAGACCTGAATAAAAGATTCATTAGAACTTTGCAAAGGGAATGGATGTGCTCTTTTAATCATTTGAGTGGCATATGAGACTGAGACATGTTTTACTGGACGATGCTTAGGATGAATAGGCTTACCTTCTTATCTTTGGGGAAATTAATAGACTGCAAGTATGCAGCTGCAGCAAAAGAAGAAGCAAATATCTCCTCCTAGAAAGAATTGTTGTACTTTCATCAAAGATAAAAAATAATTAAGAAGCCCTAAGACTCACTCAGCTAGATTGGGAACTAAGTCACTAACCTCGTTAACATTCAGGCCAAGAGTCTCAAACTTTTTGCCATATTGTTTCCTAGACTTTGTTGAGTTGTTCGTCACAAAAACCAGCCTCTTTCCCTGGAAAGTTGAGAATAACAAGAAAGCAATTTGATGTAATGAAATAAACTTCTCCAGAAGAATTTGAGAAGAAAGTGAAAAGAGCTAAAACGCAAATCAGTTGAAAAGGGAGAAAAAAAAAAAACCATTTTTCTGACTAATCAATTGAGATTTTGCTTACCAACCTTGGCACGTAGCATATCAAGAGTTTCAGGAACTCCCTCAATCAATTTATCTCCCTTCCAAATTACTCCTACAAAAACACACAAAAGTAGAAAATGGTTTCACCACTTTTCTCCCTACAAGATAAGAACGATAGATAGATAGATAGAAATATCCTCATTATAACGAATTTCTTATGGTCCCAAAACGTGTAGCGTTCTATTGTGAACTGCATTGTGTAGTCTATACCGCAACATATTGTTTAAAAAAAAATTATATTTCTTAATAATCTCCTAAGCGGCCAAGCTCTCTCTCTCTCTCTCTCTCTATCCCCGGACCCCAGTGTACACACTAACATTCCTCTACGATAGGATTTATATAGTGGTTATCAAATGAAATATAACGTTACTTAGTTGTAAGCTCAACATGTTTTGAACGAAAGAGGCATGATAAAATTTAGAAGCAAAACACAGAGGTCATAGTAGAGAGAGATCTAATCCATCATATTTATCCCACTAAGAACTACCAAATTAAGATAATATGAATTGATGAGACTCACCGTCACAGTCGAAGATAAAAGTTTCGACTGAATCGATGAGCTGATCTGCGTTCTGGAGCTGCTGTGCGGCGGCCATAGCTCTCGGGGTCAAATTAGGAGTCGTCATTCGGAGAGGCGTACGGCTGATTCTACGAATGAAGCCGCCGGAGAAGGAGGAAGAGCGAAACCCGGAGAGGTTTTTGACGGAGAAGAAGAAAGGCTTGGAGTTTGGTAAGAGAGAAACTGATGATGAAGAAGCAACAACAACTGCTCTGTTCAGCATCTTTTCTTCTCTCTTTCTTTTTCTGTTTCCGCTTCTTTTGGAAGTTTTTCTTTTATTTTAAAATTAATTAATACGAGTGTGGATGTTGCTGAGTTAGCCATTTGGGTGGACGTTCTAGATGCAGATATCATCTCTATACATTTCTGAGCCTTATACATTTGATCAACAAGCTCCAACATGTCTTAGCCATTCATTCACCCGGTTTAAACCACAGGACCGGTAAACTTCGGTTTACAAAATTTGACGGATAGTTTTGATCAATTACTGTTATTTCCCTTTCAAATTTGTGTTTAAATTTTTTTATAAAAAAAAACTGAAAAAAATAATCTTTTACTTTTTTTCTTACCTCTCATAAATCTCATCCTTGATAATTCACAAGTTCAGAAGAGAACGGAGAAGTGATTGTTTTCAAGAAAATACATGACTTCAAAATATACACTGATCTTATTTAAATCTGACAAAATTATCAAAAATAACAGTTCCGAAACCCATACATGATGTATAGTTTTTGCCAATCTCACAAATAAACCAACCAAATAATTTATCCAACCAAAGATAGAAATTAAATGGGAAATTAAAGCTTGAGTTGGAATGGGTAAGAAGGCCAATCCTTTAGATCTTCTTCTTGCCTCTGAAACTTACCATCATCATCTACAACATTCTCGTCCAAATAATCACTGTACTTCAACAAGAACGCTAACACAAGAACAACCCACTCTAAGCAAAACATCACCACGCACAAACCACCAGCGAGTTTAAGTATCACCCCTCCGTCCTCTTCCAGAACATACGACTTAAGAACCCTTAGGAAATCCCCTGTTCTCGTGAATATCAAAACAGAGACTGCGCCTTGAAATATGGCAGCGAGGACTGTGGCCACCATGTGTGCACCGTATAATCTGTCGCTTGTGGTTGCGGCGGTGGAGGAGGCGAAGACAGAGCAGCCGGTGACAGCGGTGGCGATGGTGAGAGTGTGGAGGAAGATGAAAGAGAGGCCGGAGAGAGAAGGGAAGAGACGGAGAGAGATAGTGAGGAAGATGCAACTTGAGGCGGAGCCTAAGAGGATGTAGTTGCAGAGTAGGAAGATGTTGTGTGTGTTTCCCTTAGATCTTGAGATTCCCATTTCTCTCGTTACGCTTTTTTTTGTTTTACCACCTTTAGAAAGAGAGAAGAGATTATCTGTTTTTCGTTTTTCTTATCTAAGTGTTCAGTTTCTTTTGTATTAGTTCACTTGGTTTTAGGATTTATTTATATACAGACATTTTGTATATGGAATAAACTTGAGAAGCGATAAAGTTGCTGTTTTGTTGGGATTAACGGTCGTATTTGTTTTTTATTATTTGAAAATATGACCGTTACATGGCTTAAAGGAAGAATGACAAATGTGTCGATTAAGGTGCAACGGCTCTATTACCTTTAAAATTGTTTTTCTTTCAATGGGATTTGTACTGATTTGTTATTCGCTAATACGTTTTAAATGTCAAGAGTCAACTAATGCGGTTGCCTACTCAGGATAATAAATTGTTCAATGATCCGAGAATTTTAGGAGTTGATTTATTAGATAGACAAAGGGTAAAACATAGGAACTTAGGAGGCCATTATAAAATATGTTATGTTTAAAGTTTATAAATAATAACAGCATTATTTTGTTCAGGGATATATTGTTTGTTAAGATATAATGCTAACTTATCTGATGATATATTAGTAAGAAAAAAATCACATGATCTTTACTCTATTAAAATGCCCTATTCTTGCCTTCTCACAATAGCCACGTATGCATAAATATTTGGTCAATCAGAATGTATTCTTAATGTCCACGTCAGCCTCTCCTCTTGTGTTTGGGCTTAGTTTCGTCAGTTTGGGCTTAGTCTGTTTTTTTTAATTTTCGGCCCGGTAATAACCCTAATTTTCCTCTTGTGTTTCGTCGGTTTGGGCTTAATCCGTTATCCGTTCTTTGTTAATCCGAGAACCCTAATTTTCCGCCTCCTTTCATCTCACACCTAAATCTCCATCGTCCCCCTCCTACCTTTCGAGTTTCTCAGTCCCTCTTGCTTCTCTTCCGTTTTGAGACTTTAATCTCTTTTGTTTTCCGCTTTATTGCTCCACTCCCTGTTCTCATCAATCTTTACCATCACTCATTCAATGGAATCCCTTCATCTCCCTTCTGATTTTCCTATTAATACATCTTCACTCATGGCTTATGTATCGCTTAAACTGAAACGAAACTCCATTCTATCTCTACTCTCTCTGACATATTTGTTTCGATGGAACCCGGCGTCAACTCTTCAATCCCCACCGGTGATAAGACCAGTAAGAAGATTGTCTCCTCTTCTAAGACCCGTAAGAAGATTGTCTCCTCCTCTAAGACCCGTAAAAAGATTGTCTCCTCCTCCGCCATTGCTACACCAGACTTGAAGTCTTTTGCTTCATCCGCCATTGTCACGAAGCCTCACGGCAAGGCTGCTGTTTCGTCTCCAACATCGATGGCACCGGTTGAAGACCAAGTGATGCTCTTCAGAGATTTTTCTCTTGGCCCACATGAATCCGCTTTGAGGTTTCGTCTGATCCACTTCTGGGAGGCTATCAATCCAAGGACGAAGAAACTGATTGGTCAAGAGATGCTTCTAATTGACGAAGAGGTATGTTTAGGACTTTTTAGTATGTAAGAGTTTAAGTGGTAAACGAAATATTTCACATAGATTCTTATTACAAAATTGTATATTGTTTTACTCATTTCATATATGTATCTTTGCTTTAAAAATTTGATTGTAAATAAATATTTTTCCAAATCTATTATAGTGGTAAACGCAATCTTTTCCATTATGATCGCGCTATTGGTCTGAATTTTTATTAAACTTTTTTTCTGAATGTTTTATAGGGGACTGCTATTCAAGGTTTTGTTCCAGCAGGAAGGGTTGGGAGATATGATCTGCTTGCTGGTTCTGTTTACAAGCTGACCAACTTTTTCGGATCAAGGAGCAAAGATATGTATAGTGTTGCTGATCATAACACCACAATCACATTCTCTTGGAACTCTCATTTATCAGACCCTGAGAACCATCCTGTTCCAATTCAGGAGGATAGGTTCAGGTTTCATAGCCTCGAGGAGTTTCAGGCTAATTGTGATGCAAGAGGTGATCTTTATGGTAAGATCTGTCGAAATAATATTGTTGTTTACACCTATGTGTTTTCTCATCTGTAGTTTTGTAACCTATTTAAATTTTTGTTGTTGTATAACATCCCATATAATCTTATACATTTGTTTGCCATGATGGTAGAGTGTGATTTTGATATATGCGGTTTTGATGGGTTTTTTCAGATTATCTTGGTCATATGAGGCTTGTGAACGATCAGACTATCAATGAGTTTAGTGTTCTTGATGAAGTTGACATAGCAGAGAAGCGTCATCTATGTGTTTGTGTCCAGACTCATGGGTTACTTATTCAATTTTTATAGGGGTTGTGATTTTAAGTGTTAGCTATTGAGGTAGGAGTCTCTACGTTTTTGTTATCTACAAGTGAAGATAATAATATTTAAAATTGTAGAAAACCAAAGGTTTTGTTTTCTTTTGTTGTTATTCGATGGCGACGATGATTTTATGTCAGCATTGAATAAATGTTTAGTATGGATAATAAACTGCTAATTTAGAAGTTTGTTATTTGGATTAAAATTTCATTTGAAACATATATATATATATATATATATATATATATATATATATTCAAATAAAAATTACATGAAAGATTAAGTTCAGACCTACATCTAATCAAAACTACCTAACCTATTTTTTTTCTTGAACTGATGCTTAATCTATTATATTAAACTACCACATGTAGACTTTCATCTAAAACTTAAAAAAATACTGATGAAGTTCAATAAAAATGATTTGAAACTTCCTGAAACTTAGAAATATATTTGAAAAAGATCTCAATTTCCAAAACTTCTATAATACCACACATATATGTTTCAGAAAATGTTTCTTAAGAACAGAATGAGTTTATTCAATTTTTATAGGGGTTATGATTTTAAGTGTTATTCTTAAGCAATGGATTTTAACTTATGCAGCGGGCCAGTGGTGAAGATCCATCTATGGGACCAGGTTGCATTCGAATTCTGCAAGAAATTCAAGTCCTATGGGTGCACCCCATCCGTCCTTTTGGTCACCACAGTAGACCCAAAATGACTTGTAGGTTAGTGTTGAACTATAGATTTTTGGGATCTTTCACTATTTTAACCGGAATAAGTGAGTCAATTGTTTGTTGTTTATATAGATGTTGGGATCGTTAATTGAGAACAACTGTTGTTTAGGTGTATGACTTGGTAACACGATATTTAGATACGCATCACATGCTATGCTGGTAGCATCCTATTGATTCTTAGTTGATCGTATTTTAGTGACAGCGTAATGTGTGGGTTACCATTTACAGCTGTAGGATTCTAATGTTATATGCTTCACGATGTTTTTTTTTTTGTTATTATTCAATAATGTGTTATGGTCAGGAACTCTTGCACTGACTACTATGCCATCATCTCGAGTTTTATCTTGGATGGTATGCGTTTTAATATTGAGTTATATTTCTCATGTCTTTATTTGATTTTGCAGTGAAACTCCGGCCTGACCTAAACTTTGTTTCTACTTTTTTCACAGGCTAAGCTCTAACGCTGATGTAGCCAATAAGATTAATGCAGAAGTTGTTACTAAGCCTGAGGTGGCTACCATAGGGGATTTATTCTCCTACATGAAACATGAAGATGCTAAGGTACGAGAATAAAGACTGACCCGTATTTGTTGAGATAAGGTTGTGAATTTATGCAGTTTGTTTGTCTTCGCAATGGATAGGTTGCTTGGTTTGAATGCACAGAAACTATAGATGATGTTCTCCAGGGGTCCGCTTGGTATTACATATCATGTGGTGGGTGTCATAGCAAGGCTGTCAAAGGACCTACTTCTCTGTATTGTAACAATAAGAAGTGTGAAAAAGTGAGATTGCAAGCGTACCTCAGTAAGTACTGCATACATAGTTTGTTTTTTATTTTGTTTGTCGACTATATTTAACCCTCCTTCATTGCAGGTACCTTACTAAGATCTCAGTTTATGATAAGTGTGAGCAAACAATTTTCGTTGTCCTTGGGGAAGCTGGCAAAGTGTTGTCTGGAAAGCATGCATCCGAGTTGGTTGTCAGTTATTTTGAGGTATCTCTGGGTTAGTTATATATAGATCAGATTAATTGAACTATACTAATTTAACTTCAACTTATAGACTAATGTGGACGCAAGAGCCGATCACTTTGTGCCAGTTCCTGAAGATTTACTTGCTGCGATAGGGAAGACTTTCAAGTTTATTGTGAAGGTGTCGGAACACAACTTTACTGGGAAGACTCAGAGCATAACTGTCACAAAGATACTCGCAGCAGATGCTCCACCTCCTAATGCTCCCATGGAAGACGAGGATAACCCTGAAGCCACCGATGATATTTTGAAGATTGGAAGTGGGGGAGCTGGTCCTTCCGGTGGCGTTGAAGGCTCTGCAGGGGATAAGGTGAGAAAGACTTGTGAGGGTCTTGATTCGGAAGAGGCTAAGCGTTCCAAAAGTGGCTAATATAGCTTAGAGCTATCCTACTACACAGTGATAGTTGTTGCTGCGTTTGTTCTACTGCTTTTATATTTTCCTTTTGACTTTGCTTTTCTTTATTGCACTTATTTCAGACTTTGTTTCCCTGGATTAATCTTATGTTTCTTTTTGTACAATAACTTGGTTTTTATTTCAGTATCTTTTTTAAAAGATTATACAGTGATTGTGTCAATTAGATAATAGAGTTAACCTATTATATTTTCCATGCTCTAAGGACTAAATATAAAAATACAGGTATAGAAACGTGTACAAAATGAACGTCTAACTCCCTTTCTCCAGCTTCTGTGTTTTAGAAGGTTCTTCCTCTGTTCTAAAAAAAGCGGAGAGTTCATACCCACTCATGAAACCCGGAGGTAAACTTATCTCAAATCCCCTCAAAGCTAATAAATCTAGAATTATGATTACATAGTTTCAGTTAGAAATGTGATTTCGATTTTCATCTGTAAATTTAGTTAGCTTTTACATAGAGATTACATCAACAAATATTGCGTCCACGTAGCTGGGGTTTATCTTTGTTCTCCTACTGGGTTTTTAATATGGGGAATGGAACTATGCTTTTAAAAAACCTGGTGTTCTGACCGAGAACAAATTGAGTGTACCTAAGCGTAAACAATATAACATATGAATCTAGGATATAGTCTTTGCTCCATTTTGTTATTTAAATTGTTCTGTTTTTGAGAATTCCATTTTTCTATGCAATTAACTTTCGTTTTCAGATCCGTTAGATGTTCTACAATCTTCTATAATTCGTCCGTATGTGGATTAATTCGAACTGTGTATACGATATGTTAATGTCACTATTATGAAAGGAATTGGTCTGTGTTTTGAATTCTAGGTGTTTACATATACCATGTGCATCAATAATTTTAAAACTTAGATTAAATTTTAAATTAAATTATGTTAATATATTAGATTTTGTAATTTTATATTAATATTTAAAATAAATTAAAATATAGTTAAACAAAAAATTAAGATAAAATAAAAGTTTAATTTATTTTAAATTCTATGCAAACATATACATGTATATATTTAAAATTAAACAGTTAGATAAATGTTCGTTTATTCTTTGGGTTAGTATATCTTAATATAACATATATAAAATTACATAATGATGTAAAATTGTAGAATTACCACAAAATTTAATCACACCAAATTTCTAAAATTCAGAGATATTAAAATGAAACAAATGGTATTGGTTAATAATAATATTTTTAAAAAAATTGTATAAAATTTTAATAAACATGTTTAGTAATAGAAATCATATTTTTATAAAAATAAAACAAAATAATATTTAAATATTCACAAAACATTTTATTTGTGTTCTTATTTTATTTAATGTTATGTATAAATATATGTATTATTTGTAATAATATATATGAGTTAATACCATAATTTAATTTCTTTAACGAACATAGAAATTAGTATTAAATGTAATTGTCTTTGTTAGTTTTTAGTAGTAAACTTAATAACCAAGATGTTTAAATGTTTTTGTTACTTTTCAAGTATCTACTATACTGAAACTGCTACTTCCTAACATATGTGTTCGATTTTTATAGTAACATTCCCTATGGATCACATCAATCAACGAATTCACCAACTTCAAGTAGGGATATGCATGCGTCCTATAATGGTATGTATAAAGACTATGTGGGACATAAAAATTCACCGAGAAAGCAATACCCAATCATGTACTGATATTCTTATGCTATGATCCCCACGTAAGCTATTTGTTTCAACTCTTACATATACATTTCTTTTTCCACAGTTTGGTATACCTGGTGTATTGACACAAGTTCCTTAATTTGTTTGGAAAAAAAAACTGTGTCCATTCAGGGACAAACATTGGAAGGTCAGCTTACCAACGACAGTGGCACAACTGAGCAAAGATTTTTAACCGTAGGAGATGCATATGAATTCGCAGGATTTTCTGTTGCGCACAATTTCCGTGGGCAGAAATTTACGCAACTCCCGTACTTCATTCGGATCAATCAAGAGACAACCATGATAAATGTTACTGGTATAGGCCCGATCTTCCCTATACACAATTTCTCTGCTCTGAAATACTCAAGCTTGCTTCGCTTAGCCGATACACCTAGCTACTTTCCGGGTAACTCTCTAATCACGCTTACGACAAAAGGTGTTGTTGTTTTACTAACATCGCAGACCATACTGCGAAGATGTAGTTGGACAAATAAGAATATTGCAAGATATAAAACTCCGCTGCCCAGCACCGAATGAAAAAGTCACAATTGGTCTACTTCTGAACAAGTGGAAAATGGTGAAACTCAAGCTCTGGGGCAAACAAGCAGCAGACTTTAACACCATCCAAATCGAGAAAGACATGATGCTTAAAGTTGTCATCATCACGAGCGTAATCCCTAAATTTGTTAAAGGTAATTAATTTTTTTTTAATGATACAGGTTTAATATATACTTATATCTTTTACCCATGCACCAAATAAATAAATCTTGCAGAAAAACTAGAACTATCCTCATCACCAGCTACAGATTTCTACTTTGACAAATCAATCGGACTCATCAAGAATTTCAAAGGAAGGGTCAGAAGACCTCGGCGTGGATAAAAAAAAACTATCACTTGGTTTTATATTCACATTACAATTCATCTAGATACTCGGATTATTTTTCCTTTGGAAGCGCTTGAACTATGGGTTTTATTTATTAAAGGATTTTTTCTAAGTTATTAATAGCTGATTCTATACTTAACACACAATTACTTATTCCCCTATTTTCCTCACATTCATACTATACTATGACTTTCCCGCCTACAATAGCACATTATATGATTTTCCCTTCATAACATTACAAGAAATATCAATCCAAAAACTACAACAACACATATATTTATCAATATCCCCGGCTTCCGCGGAGCTACGCACATAATATTTATAATGATTGGGTATTAGATCTAAAGAAACCAAATATTAAAGGACATAAAGAATAGTCACAAATATTTGTTTATTACTATTTCAACCAGTTATTTAAATACATAAGTTAGTAACAAAATAGACTATTATGCAAGTTGAATCAAAAAAGTTCAACCCATGAAAATTTATATACTAGATTATCATTTCCTTTTAAACAAAAAAAATATTGATTTTCTCAAGTTTAAATGACTATCTTTTCTTAAATGTATAATTATGATGGTCACACAAATTTTTATGTCTTTGTTTATAATTTATCTATTCATCCATACAATTTGGTTCACATTGCATAGTCTTTGGAAACTTGATAAAAAAATTAAGAGGGATTATTATTTTTAAATGGTTAAACAATAAATAACAACTTCAGTTAAATATTTATATGGTTTTTGACATAAGTTCATAATAAAAATATATCTACTAAAATGATTTTGTTGTTTGTTATTAAAAGCGATGCTATGTGACAAGAAGTGTTTAAAAAACCGGAACAAGCTGGTTGGATCATGACTCTCTCTCTTTTAAACAATTTTGAGTTGTGCTAAAAACTAACAAATTCGGTTTAAAAACCGGTTACTCGCTAAAACCGATGGTCCAATTTGATATTAAACCATGATTTTGTTTTTCAAATTCAAGTTAAAAATGTAATTTTTTTAAAAAAAGACTTTCATAAAAACATGTATTGTTTTTAATATTTCTTTAAATGCATTATTTTCATTATATTTTATATTATTTTTGAAGTTTTCATTTTATTTCCATATCATTTTACCTTCAAACAATGATAAAAAGTCTTATAAATATAATTTTATAGTTATAAGTATATATAGATACTTAACTTAAAATTAAATTAAATTTACAACTCAGTTAGACCGGTGTGACCATTGACATAACTGCAATGTCAAGTTAATGTTCGGTTTGGTATTCAAAACATTGATGGCAAGGATAAATTAATATCATCAAGTTTATAAATAAATTGAATAAATAAATATTACTCATAACAAAACAAATATATAGAATCTTAAATTTGTATGATTTCATTTTAAACTTACAGAAAAGTCAATTCATTTTATATACTTAATTTTCAGATTTTGATAGTGGTTATTTTCTACCAACATTTTGAAGATAGAAAACGACATATTAAAATACTACAGTAATTATTGTTTAAGTTATTTATACCAAAAATAAAATGAGGGTTCTGTTTAAAAAAAAACTAGAAAATCTATATTTTGTAAAAAAAATGGTCACTATTAGTATTACTTATGAAAAAATCTTACTTGCATTAACTACAATGATTTTGTCAATCATTATTTTTTTATTTAATTTAATACTCTATTTCTGATGTATTTAATTATAAGTTTAATTATACAATATATTATATATAAACAATATAATTAGAAAATTTGTTTAAAAAACTAGCCGCGCGTATCGCGGCCAATAGATTTAGTAAATTATAAAATTGGCAATATTCTTCACGCTATCTACTAATTACACCAGAACAGTTAATTCCATTAGCGAAAAGAAAATAAAAGTATGATTTTAATAAAGAAAAAATTACATAAATTAGTAAAATTGAAGAAATTAATAATAATAAATAAAATACACTAAAATAATCAAAATTCAAATAAATTATTTTTTAACACTGATTTATTATGATATTACAATTATGAGAAAAATAACATAAACGACAACCAATGCTGAGTTTACTTGCACCATGCTGAAGATCTCTTGTAAGCCTTTCTTTTCGTAGCCTGCATAATTGTTTGATAAATCACTTTTGCCGGGTATTGAAACCTAGACCTCCTGATATAGAAGAATTAATGAACCATCAGTAAAACCACTGGACTAAAGAGGCTTCCACAAATAGATTGTTAAGGTGACGGTTTTTATATATTGCGTTGACAATTTTTAACATATAGTCGGTGGCTTTCCGAGCTTAACTAGTAATGGCAGATCTAGAAAATAAATATAATAGATATAAAATAGCTTAACTAGTAATGCCAGATCTAGCAAAATAAATATAATAGATATAAAATAGAAACAATTACATCCAAGGTCATTTTATCGAACATAAATAACATTCTAAGACGCATTATGCTACTAAAACACTTTTCACACTTTTCCTTGTTCTTTATACAGCTGTCAACATATACAATCTCCTTATTTCCCTTATTCTTTCTATCATATAACGTAAGTGTAATTTAAGAAAAGCTTCTTCTCTGATTCCTTTGATTTCCAGATTTTTATTTTTGATTTATCTTCACCATATAATTGAAGAAACATTGTAATTGATAAAATCTGAAAATATAATTTTTCTGAGAAACCGGTGGCAAGAACTTCAAGCGGTCCGGAGAAGATTCGATGTGCCCCCGACGAGAAGCTTCGGAATTGTGCTCCTCTACAACACAAAAAATGTTGTGACCACCACTCCATCATCTCCTCTAACCAGGATTATGCTCCTCTGTAACACGAAGACCGTTGCGGCCCCTATTGAGAAGCTCTGAAGTTGCCGTCTCTCCGATTTCTTTCCGTTGCAATCTATTGTCGCAAGTCTCAGTTCTCCAGTGAATATACTCTCCACCAAAACCAAACCCAAGCCACCGTGAGAGCACTGTCCAAGCCGTTTTCTACATCGTCGTGCTCAACTCTGTCGGTTTCAAACTCCATCGTGACTGTCTTGAAACAGATATCGACGATCTGGATTACGATCTGTCTGACCCAACTTCTTCAATTTTTCATAAACAGTCCCTTGACTTGTGGTTAATCGCAACATTTCTCCCAAATGTTTCATAATGTGTAAATTTCTTTCTATTCGCCCCAAACTTTCAGAAAATACATTTCAGCCCCTCTTATATGCAACTGAACACACACACACACACACACACACACACACATATATATATATATATATATATATATATATATATATATATATATATATATATATATATATATATATATATATACTAAAAACATCTAAATACATTCTAAAATGATTTAAATGAAGTAAAATAACTGTTAAAATTCATTAAATTATGACGTATCAATTGCAAAGTGAGAACTCACAAATATTGAAAGACAATAAATAATAGATATGAGTTGTTTCCTTTTCGTCTTAGAATATGAGATTTGCATATACTTTTTAATGTATGAATTAAGGTTACATTAAATATGACTAGTTAATCTTTGTTTATGGATATATATAAACTGGAGTACATGTGGATATACAAATAAGTGTATAATTATTAAATTTAAGTAACCTATGTATGTGTACATACACATATACGATAAAATATGTACAACTATACATATACGATGTACACATGTGTACACATGCGTATACAATCAATGAGTGTGTACATAACCAATGAGTGTACATGTGTACATTCTCTTTATACATGTACATCGTGTATATATGTACATGTACACAATCAATGAGTTATGCATATTTCGTCGTATGTGTGTACACATATATATATATATATATATATATATATATATGTGTGCGCATATGTATAGTTGTACATATTTCATCCTCTATATATATATGATGTATAGATGTGTACATAATCGATGAGTGTACATGTGTACATAATCTTTATATATGTACATTGTATATGTATAGTTATACATGTACATCGTGTATGTATAGCTGTGCATATTTCATCGTATATGTGTACATATATATATATATATATATGTGTGTGTGTGTGTAAATATGTATAATTGTACATATTTCACCATGTATATATACATGATGTATACATGTGTACACAACCGATGAGTGTACATATGTACATTATATATATACATGTACATCGTATATGTATAGTTGTACATATTTTATCGAACACTTAACTTGTGTTTTTATTGTTTGATTTTTAGATAAACAGCATCATATCCGGTAATGTACACAAATACAATATGAATCTATATATTTTTTATTTGAATAGATAGAGCTATATAAAATATTTTACTAAAAATGTAGAACTAATATAATGTTAATGTGAACACTATATGTCAGTTTGCATGGTCTAGCGGATATGTGTTTTGCATCTGTTTCTGCAGTCCGGGGTTCGATGTGTGCGTTTGCTTAATTTTAGTTGATATAATTAAATCGTCATCTTCAAATTAGGATTTCCTGTGTCTTATGCAATTACATTTACGAGCCGCCATTGATTTTCTTAATGAAATCTTTATCTTTTTTAACGACTTTACCTTAAAACGTATAAATGTTGTAATGATTAACTGATTATATTCAATTGATAAAAAAAACACAAGTCTTCTCACGATCTCCAATTTTTAATAGATTAAAAGCGAAACAAAATAGTTCACAATCATGTACGCCCCGGCTCTGGCCCCTGCACCATTTTACGGTCACCATGCCTCCTCCCCTTATGATTTCTAATTTTGTCGTTCAAATTATAAGATGAAAATGTTTTGCTACTTTCTTAAATTTTTAAAATTCAGATACTTTTGAAAATAAAATAGAATATGAGACAAAAAAAAAGACACAGATCTATTTTGTTTTAGTCAAAGGGTAAGTAGGTAATACAAAAGAAAGAAAACTACCTCGGTAGTTGAAAGTGTCCTAAGATGAAATAAACACTCATAATGTGTCCTACCATGTCAATGACTCTATAAAATAT